TGAGATCTCTCATCCCATGATTCCCATCCCAATCCCAAGCACATATATTAAAATTTACCATAGATTATCTTATCAAAATTAAGTGAAAATTACACTATTTTATTTTATTTTATTTTTTAATTTTTAATCTAGAGGACAACTTTGCTTATTAAGGGGAGAATAAAGTGAACAGTAGCCAACACCTCCTTACAATATTGTAGAAGAAAGTGAGAGGGGTCTCTACTTTTTTTTTTTTATTTAATTTAATGTTATTAATATTAGAAATCAAATTGAAAATGATTTTATGGGCAAGAATCTTGGATTCTAGATCAGGAGGACCATATATAATATGATTATATCAAGACAACATGACAAAAAGACAGAATATATAAAATAAAACAAACAGTTTGATGATTGGGGAAGATCTCTCATAAGATCAGATTAGATTATTAAGTAGAATTGTACTTTTTTGTCTCTGTAGTATAATAATTAATATTATTTAGATAAATAAAAATATTTGATGTACTCAAGAGATCTAAGACCTGTGCAAGAAAAGAATAACAATAAGTCACCAATTTTACTTTTCTTTTTGGACAAATTATTTTATTTCTCATACATATAATAATCATTAGAAGAGAATATTATTTGTGCTTATTTTTTGAATGATATTTCACTACAGTAGATAATAGATAAATTTCGTTATAAAATAATTAAATTAACTTACTTTGAATCACAGATCAAAGCATAAAATAAAGCAGAAAACAATTTTTTTAAAAAAAAAAAAAAATATATATGACATAAAATAAAATTGGACCATTATTGAGTGTGACAAAAGTATAGACTTTTCCCATGCATGCCATGCAGTTCACCACTATATAGTATATGGGAAATGCTACGTCTTATTACGGAACCAATCCGTCGGGGTTTATAACCGTTAGATTATTATATAATTAACCGTCGGGAGAGTTGATCTCACGGTTACAAACCTCGACGGAATGGTTGCGTAACGAGACCGTAGCATCTCTCATAGTATATATCCTACAACTTAATTTATTTATTATGATTTGAAGGAAAATTTTAGAAATTTCTCCCTTTTCTCCACATTTTTATGCTGAAATTTCACCTTTTTTTTTCTTCTCAATTTTTTTTTTCCTTTTTAATCTTATTTATGCTTTGTTTTTAGATGGGCACACACACACAAGAGTGTATGTGTGTGTGAAAACAGCAACAAAAACATGAGGGCCATTTTGCTTTTTATCCATCCTTTAACAAGAATAGAAAGAGATGATAAAAGAAAATGAGGAGATAAATGCTTTTTCCATATAACATAAAAGCCTGAAAATTCGTGATTGTTTTAACTTTTATTTTTAAGTAATTAATAGTGAAATTAGTTCAATAGTTAAAGGGATAAAAAAATTTGTATCATTAATATTGAGAAACATATATAAAACAACAAAACGATATAAACACTACCTGGAGGCCGGTCGTGTCCTCCCATTCCTTGTCGTCGAGCCTATATTCATGCATTACCCAATCGGTCCTTATTCCCTGTGGGGCCCTTCCCCTGTAATACACGAGTGTTTTCTTCATGCCTATGGCTCGATTTTGGCTATTCACTCGCCTATCTTTCCCTGTCGATTTCCAGTAACCGGCCCGAGTCGCCCTGTTCGTCCTGAACCCGTTCGGGTACTTTCGGTCCCTTGGCCCGAAAAAGTACCACTCGGGATCTCTACTAGGCAAGAAAGATTTCTCTACAATAAATCAATTAAAACAACAATATTGTATGTGAAATAATTATCCAAATGCATGCAGTAATTAATGTGAGCTAATTTAAAAATTAATGCATACTTATACTATCAAATGACAAATTTTCTTTAATCTTCTTGAAAAGGGACAAAAATGGCAGAGTGTAGGGTTCATGAAAAGAAAAATTCTTGAGTTTATAATTAAGGTACAAAATGACATATTTTCAATCCGTTTTCGCTGACCTGCCAATTCCCACGGCTCGCATTTGTAGAGATCGACTTCCGGAATAATGTCGAGCTCGATTTCGATGCCTTGAATTTTCCTTTTCAAGTAATAGTTGACGAGCTCCTCATCGGTATGGTGAAACCTAAAACCAGGAGGCAGTCCCACCGGAGCCATCGAAACAGCGGCCACCGGCAGGGGCAAAGCCAGCCTCAAATTTCACCGGGGTCGGCAATATTTTTTAGCGGGGTCATTAACCTAGTAAACAGTGTTTGAACAGTATTTTATACTAAAAATTTTGAAATCCATAGGGGTCAGCTGACCCCAGCAAGAAAGTGTGGCTCCGCCACTGGCCACCGGACCGCCTGCTAACAGCTCGTCTCCGGCCGGCCGACGAGCACTTTTTACGATTAACTGTAACACAATGTGTTAAAGTGCTGTTAACTACACCATTGATGATGATGGTGTGGGATTTATATAGGAGGATTCAAAGTCCCCCCCTTGTCTTTGAGTTATTTTTTCACTTTCTTTTTTTTTTTTTTTTTGGGCTTTTTTCAAGATTCTTAGAAGTGTTTTGTGGAAGCCCTTTGTTCTCCCACATAATTAAACTATTACTATATATAATAACAATATATGTAGTCACATTTTATTTTAAATATACATTGTTTTTGGAACTACATAATGTTATGTTCTGCTCAATTAGCTTGTTCTTAATTAGCTAGATTTGATGGCATTTAATTTTATTGTGGTTAAGTAAAATAAAATCATCATTCATCAATATTGTGAAAGAACTTCCTTTTATGAATGCAATTTAATTAATTATACGTAAATATATTATGAACTCCATGCAATCCCTCAACGACTTCT